TCACCGAAAGAAATCAGGCCACCAAAAAAAAAACGACAAATGCATATATGTGACTACAATGTACAAACTTTATCAACAGAAGCATCAATGATAGAACTGGAGAATGAACTACAACACATAAAATGGAATATAATCGGTATAAGTGAAGTTAGGCGTCGAAAAGAAGACCAAATAATACTTTTAAGTCTGGAAATATGTTCCATTTCAGAGGAAACGAAGATTCATCTGTTGGAGTAGTGGGTTTTTTAATCCATAAAAAAATGGGTACCAAACATAATCACAATAAAAAGTATCTGTACCAGAGTTATTTAGGTTATTTTTAAATTAAACCCAAGATACAAACTTAAAATTATATAGGCCTACGCACCAACTACGAGACACCCAGATGAGGAAGTTGATCAATTTTATGAAGATATCAGAGCAGCTATACAAACTTCAAAAACACATTACACATTGATCATTGGAGATTTTAACGCCAAATTGGGATTCAAACAAGATAATGCAGAATCTGCTATGGGAAACTTTGGGTTTGGTGAGCAAAATGAGAGAGGTAACAGGCTTCTTGACTTCTTACATCAGAAAAATCTCTTTGTGATGAACTCATTCTTCGGAAAGAAATTCCAACGTAAGTGGACATGAAAGAGTCCGAACCAAAGAACAAAAAGTGATTGATTTCATAATATCAAATCGGAAAATTTATTCAATACTGTTACATCCTGAACAATATTGAATAAATTTTCAACAGGGAATGACCATAGACTAATTAGAGCAAAAACCACTTTTAACACTGAAGTTGAAAGAACAAAAATGATCATCAAAAAGAAAAGTGGAAGGTGGATGTTCCCAGAAGATATAACACTTTACGAAGAAAATATTAAGACTAGTTTGGATACACACGACTTAGAGAATATCAGCATCAATGAAATGAACAATAATATTACTCAAATATTGAAAGAAGCTGAAAAGAAATACTGTCCTCGTCCTGAAAACAATAACAAAAAATTAAACACAAAACATCTTCTAGAGGAAAGAAGAAAACTTAGGAAAAATTAGGATCATAACCAAAATGAACTAAGAATTTTAAATAAGAAAATTAAAAAGGAAGTTAGAAAAGATCTGAGACGATACAATGCGATGGAAATAACTAGAGTACCTAATAGAAGAAAACAGAAGCTTGAAAGTAGTCAGACAGAGCATGTTCATTGGAAGAAAAAACATCCACAAATTAAGAAATGAACAGGGGTAAATCATTGAGAATAGAGTTCAAATTATAAACACGATAGATAGTTTTTATAGACAACTATACAAAGAACAGCAATGTAACCGGAGTGGATGAAATGAAAAACAATAAGTTCCAAGGAGGCGATGAAATAGTCCCTTGAAAGTGGCTGGAAAAAGATTATGGCAGGTCCTTGCCAAACTATTCACTAGATGTTTGCAGGAAACAATAACACCAATCCAGGTATAACGCAGAAATTATCATATTTAAAAAAAAGGGGATGCTACCGACCTCAGGAATTACAGGCTCATAAGTCTACTTTCACATATTTATAAACTATTTACAACAATAATTACGGAACGACTAGAAAATAAATTAGGATTTTATCAGCCCATAGAACAGGCGGGTTTTAGAAAAGGCTATGGAACAAACGATCACCTACTGGTAATAAAAAATATTATAGAAAAATGCATTGAATATAATAAATCACTAGCTTTAATATTTGTCGACTATGAAAAGGCATTCGACACCGTCAAGCAACAAAAAATGTTGGAAGCCTTGACAGCATGCCGAATTGACTATCGGTATATAAAAATATACTTAAATACGCTTTTGGAATATATATGTAAAACGGCCAAACTGACCGATAAGGGCATAAACATAAACGGAGAAACGCTTAGCCATCTAAGGTTTGCAGATGATATTGTACTAATAGCTGATAGGATAGATGAGGCCAAAGAACTTTTAAATCCGCTCTACCTTTCCTCTCTAGAAGGGGGATTGAAAATAAATATATCTAAAACCCAGATGATGACAAATCTTGTAGTCAGCGAAGATATATACGTAGGACCAAGATCCATAGACCAGGTAATGGCCTATAAATACCTAGGTCATGAGATCCGCATAGGAGAATTTAAAATACCTAAATATAAATAAAAAAAAAAATAAAAATTAAATAAACTAAAATTTAAAATTTTAAAACACAATAAAGTACCGGAAGACTGGGGTACGAGCAAATTAATTCTATTAAAAAAAGGAGATAAAAAAACAGACAGAAAACTACAGAGGTATTAACTTGTTAAGTACTACCCTAAAACGTACAAATAAAATTTTACAAGTACTAATAAATCAGAGGATAAGTTTAGCTGATGAACACCAGGTTTTTTGTAGTGGAAGATCGTGTACATATGCAATATTCGGTATAAAGCAAATTACTGAGAAATCACTAGAGTGTAATAGAGCAGCATTTCTGTGTCTGATTAACTTAACGAAAGCGTTTGACAGAGTAAGAGTCAAAGATGTAATCTATCTTCTATATAGTAGAGAAGTTCCCCTAAATATTATAAAAATTATCGAAAACATATGCCAAAACAACAAAATGGAAGTAAGAATAGATGGACAACTTACAGAACGTATAGAAACAGGCAGCGAAATAAAACAAGGGACTCACTGAGCCCTATGTTCTTCAATTTAATTATGGATGAAATCATCAAAAGTGTTAACAAAGGAAGAGGATATAAAATCAGAAACAAAGAAATAAAAATACTTTGTTGTTGAGACGACTAGCTATTGATCTCCCAAGCCCAAGATGAAGATAGTCTACAAAGATTGGTTCACAGATTTAACATAAGAGTAAAAGAATTTAATATGACAATCTCATCTCAAAAAACTAAAACAATAATAATCAGAAAAGAACCAACCAGATGTAAAATAGAAATTGTATCATCAGTATTGAACAAGTAATGGAAATAAAATACTTTAGAATTACACTATCCAGCTATGGAGACCTGGACCAAAAAGTGAGAGATCAAGTACAAAAAGCGAATAAATTGGCAGGATGCCTTAATAACACTATATGGTGAAACACACACTTTAACAATAAGATGAAGTCAAGAATTTATAGCCAGTGTAAGACTAATAATGACATATGGCTCAGAAACAAGACCCGAAATACACACAACATAAAGGCTACTGAAAACAGCAGAGATGAGAGTACTAAGAATAATTTCAGGAAATACTCTGAGAGATAGAAAAAGGAGTGAAGACATTAGGAAACGTAACGTACAGTATCTAAATGAATGGCATAACCACATAAGCAGAATGGAGTAGATCCATGTCATCAAAATAGCAAGAGATAAGTTACCAATCGACAGAAGATAAGTTACCAATCTTCCATAGAGGTATTAATCCGCCAATGAACAAGCAGAATTGCTTATGAAACGGACGGAGAAGAAGAAGAAATTTTTTTGCTATTGTATTAAATCTCTGAACTAGTCTTTGAAGGCTATCTTCATTTTGGGTTTTCAATATTGAATCGTCTGCCCAACAGAGAATTTTAATTTCATAGTTTCCATTCTGCATCCTCTTTCTTTATTGACGCTTTTTTATGCTCATCCATAATTGGAGTGAATAGCTTAGGACCTGTCATATTCCATTGCTCTGACTTCCATATTATTGTTTTGATAGACGTTTTTATAATATCCAACGGGATTTCTTTATTATAAAGGGTGATTCATTTAGAGGTACTTTTTTTGGTAGGGTTTTGATTGGAGATTGTGCATGAATACTGTCAAACTGACATTTTGCTTTTGTTCAAGATCTTGGTTTAAAATCATACAAAACTAAATTAATGCAAGAGCTAAAGCCGACCGACCTTGCGAGTCATCACGTTTCAGCCGATGGGCTCTTGATAAGCTTTCAGAAGATCCACTGTTTTGGAGAACAATTTTGTTTTCAGATGAGGCCCATTTTTTTTCTTAATTGGAACGTTAATAAAGAAAAAGCCCATATTTGTGGTAATGAACAACTCAAGGAGGTTTAAGAGTTGCCAATATACCCTGAACAAACAACTGTTTGGTGTGGTTTATGGGCTGGTGGAATCGTTGTGTCCATATTTCTTTAAAACAGAGGCTGACCAGAATGTTACTGTGAATGGAGATCGTTATCGTGCCATGATAACGGACTATTTTTTGTTCCATAATAATATATAATTTGTTCCAACAAGATGGCGCCACTTGCCATACAGCCTGTGAAAGTATGGCTTTACTGCGAGAACGATTCGGTGAACAAATCATTTCACGCTTTGGGCCAGTGAATTGGCCGCCTAGATCCTGTGACATCTCACCTCTTGACTTTTTCTTTTGGAGCTACACAAAGTCCAAAGTCTACATGAATAAACCAGATACGATTGAGGCATTGGAGGCCAATATTACTCGAGTCGTTGGTGAACTACCAATCGAAATTCTGGAACAAGTCATCAAGAATTGGAACTTTAAAATGAACCAACTTAATTGTAGTCATGGTCAACATTTAAAAGAAATTATTTTTCAGTAGTAATTGACAAAAATGGTTTATTTGTATAATAATAAATATTTTCAAAAATTTTTAATTTTTTTCGTTGGTTTTTCTTGTTAAAAAATGTACCTCTAAATGAATCACCCTTTACAAGAGATGTATTACAACTTTATTACGTAATTTAAACTATATTGTAAATGCTAATGACCCTCAGCAATCAAACTACTCTTTTCTATAAAATCGTCGCCACCAGAATCTTGGGAACGGTTTTACTTAAGTATTATTAAAATAAAAATAATTAAGCTCTTGAAAGTTGGCATAACCGTAGCAATTATGCGTAATAAATAGTTCTAAATAATATTCGCCGGTGTATCATAGATGGTTATTAAAATATATTAATTTTTCTTAATACATCGAATTATGGGTATATTTCTTCGATGGAAGGGTAATGAAAGTGAGAGTGTATAAAACAATTTTCTTGAATAAGATGCAAGTAGTTAGTTATACAGGTGATACAAGTGTTTTGGTAATATGCCGATATGAAAATCCATGTAAGTTATCATATTTTAATAGTGGTTTATTCGTGAATAATAGTGCATAATAGAATTGTGCAATTAACCAACATATCGTATCAACATTAAGTATTAGTAGTATTTTCTTACTTCGAAGATGTACTTCTATAAAATTGTTCAGAAGCTATTTTCTTAACTTCGTAATAGCCAGGTATTTGACAAGTTTTCCGTCAATATAATTTCCGAGCCTAGAGGTTTTGCCGCCCGGGCGCAAAAACCAAATTTACCGTTTCATCAGCAATTTTGGAAAAACGTGTATAAGAAAACTGGGACATTATAGTAAGGGGAAGTCGATATAAAATTTTACAATTGATCCTTAAAGGCAAAATAGAGGGCCGTAGAGGTGTAGGAAGAAAACAAGTTTCTTGGTTAAAAAACATTCGTGAATGGACTCAGATACCAAATGCAGGACAATTATTCCATATTGCAGAAGATCGAGAAGCCTTCGCAATGGTGATCGCCAACGTCGGATAGTTCTGATATGGCACGCGAAGAAGAAGTATAAGAAAACATCGCAAATTAGGGGAAATTAATAAAACACAATTTTGAACATTTAAATCATAAAAATATATTTATTAAGTCAATTTATTACATACCTATAATATAAATATGAGCTTATACAACATATTATATACATAAATATAATTTTTTTTATTTAAACAAAAATGACCCTGCATTAACTACTAAGAGTTATTAGCAGGGGGTACAAACACAAATTACAAGTATTTAATTTCTTACAATGTATATATGTATAACTTAAATATATTCTATTAAACAGTGTAAAGTTTAATGCCTTTCAAATATTTCAGCACTTGGTTGAACTGGCAGCTTAGTAGATCCTTCATGTTGGTAGAGAGGTTATTTTTTCTTCTTTCTTGGGTGTATGTTTTGCATTCTAACAGAATATGTTTCACAGTGATTTGGATCTTGCAGTTGTGGCAGAAAGGGATGGCTTCTTTATTTATTAAGTGAATATGGGTTGGTATAGTATGTCCTAATCGTAGTCGAGTTATTATCACTTGTTTACAACGTTTGAGTGGGAGTGGTGGTAAAGTGGTGCCGACAGTTTCTATAACATCTTTTAATTTGTTGGATGTGGAATTCCAGTTACACTGCCATAGGTTGGTAATATATTTTTTAATGGAGGTTTTATGGTCGTTTCTTGTGATCATGTGTGACACAGGGATGATTTCATGTAGTGTAGGTTCGTTTGCAAGTTGGTCCACTGCTTCGTTTCCCTTGACTCCCACGTGTGATGGCACCCATAAAAAAGTTATTTCTAATTTCTATATTTTTTGTTGATAGTAGTATGAGTTCATTTTTTATTAGCACTATAATTTCATTTGATGGATATAGTTGCTGTAAAGCTTTTAGTGTACTTAATGAGTCAGATATTATAATATAATGAGGTGCGGATTTTTTCTTGCAAACTTTCAACTTGGCGAGACAATAAATGCAGAACAATCAAAAACGAAAAAACAGGAGCTTATAACACAACACTGCATTCATAAATTAAGGGCTAAAGCATTTTATCGTTTGCTAGGAGAAGAAAATGACAATACGGTAACAGGGTCATTCGATTGCCAAAAAAATCTTTCACTCCTAAAAATTCCCGATCAGGCCACATACTATTCTCATCAATTATACCTTTATAATTTTACAGTTGTCATAGGCTCATCTCATTCTCCACTAAATATTCAAACGGTAAGATCTTATATTTGTACATAAAATGAGTCGGGTAAAGGCACAAATGAGATTTGTTCTAGCGTATATCACTGCCTAAGTACCATGATGGTTGCGGAGGACAAAATAAAAATTCAATGATTATCTGCATGGTAATGAAATGGCTCAGTACTGTACAAAGTGGTATAACTAAGGTTCACCTTATTTTTCCAGTAACTGGGCATTCATTCCTATCTTCGGACCGCATATTTGCCTTTACAGAAAAACAAATCAGAAAAATGGAAAAAAATTGTAGATCCTTCACAATATATAATCATAATGCGACAGCATGCGACTGTATATCGGTTAATGGCAGATATTCCTATTTATGACTGGAAAGAGCAGTGCAAAGAGTTTCTAAAATCAATACAAGCGTGGCATTTTCAAATTAAGAAATGCAAAAGAATTATAATAACCAAGCTACCACAGCGTATAACAGTAAGAGGCTAAATATCATATAGGAACGACATGGGTAAGGAAAAAACACTTCTGAAGCCTGGAAAACGTTTAACTGAGATGAAACTGCAGCAGTTAACACAGGGAAACACTGTAAATACCAGTAAAATAAAATATGTCAAAACTTTGCTTACGAAACACTACGGGGACCAATGGCAACATTTATTATTTCATATTGTGTTTAATTTTGTTAACATTTTTCTCTATTAATAAAGATTATTTTTAACAAACATGACTTTTTAACCTTAATTCGCTTCTGTAAACAATATAAAAATATTTTAAATCAAATTCCATCATTTTAAACCAAAATACAATATGTCCAAAATATAATTTGCAATTTTGGATTAATCATTTGTGTTATTTTACTAAAATCGCTTTAAAACAACGTAGCATTTAAAACAAGAACATAGCAGAAGTAGTAAAATAAAAGTGATCTAAAAGACATACTCAATAACTTGGATCAAATAACCTCAAGTCTTAAATACCTCAAAGACGTTCAATTATTTTATAAAATATAATTTTGATTGTGTTGTGGTAGTGTGTACTCTATGACATATTTTTGTAAATTATTGTAACAGTTTTTCATTTGTAACCGTTTTGTAACAGTTTTCGTGTAAGTGGCCTTTGTTGCCAAGCACGTAAATTTTCAATAAAAAAAAAATAAATAAAGAAGAGGTTTGTAAACAATATTATTTGCTTAAAGCAGAAATAGCACATTATCTCAGTTTCACTTGTACAGGACTTAACAGGGTTTGATTTTCACCAACACAATTTGAACAAAAATAAAGACAGGAAATTTTTTATGCTAATTTTTATGCTAAAAAATTGATTGGTAAAAAGTACAAAATACTACTTTAACTTTATATAATATATGTAGGTAATAAAACGCTATTTGGAATAAACTTACCATTAACAATACACTGATAACAGTTATAATATAATGCATAACAAAAATAAATTAAGAAACAATCACAAGGTAACTTTTCATTAAATTTGTAACTATTTTTTGGTAAAACTTACTCGCGGAAAAGAAAACACAGAAAACACGTATAGATTTCGGCCCGAAATATTAATTCCCCGATAGTTTCGGGAAATTTTGGTAATATTGTTTTTATTTTATTTAGACAGTTATTTTTATTCCACTTTGCTTGCTTGGCGTTTTGATTATATTTTTTTGATATTTATATTTTTGGGTAAATTTTGTCCCTCCCAACCGAGCTCCGCACGGAAGCCACGCACCCCTTGCACCCCGGCACGGCACTGCCCTGTATATACCTATTGTAGGAAAATACGGTGTTTTGGGCTGAAATTTTGACGTGTACGCATTTAGGCTTATATACAGTGTGGTTCTTAAGTAATTGTACAAAAAGAAACCGCAGATTCTACACTTTAAAATATTACGATTTAAGCCAACTTGCTTTAATAAAATGTTGATATTAAAAAAGATACAGGGTGTTAAAGGGAAATTTCAAATTTTATTTTTCGCTATAACTTTCATGTTTGTAAACATTTATGCTTAAAAATGTATAGCTATGTACTATTTAATAGCAGAAATTATAATTTGATGCATACCTTGATGTATGTAGCTAATAGATAACGCCACATAGGCCACATACGTGGCATACATTTGCCCTTAACTTTTTTATTCTTCAAGTTACCGGTATTTTCGATAAAAAATGTTAAAAAGATACATTATTTTAATAAAAAAAAGGTATACTTGTTAATAACTTCAAAACTCAATAGTTTTCGAGATAATCGCATTTTACAAATCAACTCCATAATTCTGATTTAACGCAATTACTCCAGGCAATGAAAGAAAGATAGATAAAAACATCAATACTCCTGAATTTTGTTATAAAATACCTTTAATAAAGTCAATAGTTAACGAAATATTAAATAAAATAAATATATCAGCAGGATAATTAATAATAGGATTTGATAAAATAACAGAATAATGGGATTTTACAAGAAACATTTTACGTTTTGTATTAAATTAAAGTTATAATCAAAACATTTTATTTACAAACCAAATTAAGAAATAGTTAAACTAAATAACATTAAACTTTTTGACAAAGTATTTAGTTAAGTTTTATCAAGTTATTTAGTTTAACTATTTCTTAATTTGGTTTGTAAATAAAATGTTTTTATTATAACTTTAATTTAATACAAAACGTAAAATGTTTGATGTAAAATCCAATTATTCTGTTATTTATCGAATTCTATGATTTTATCCTGCTGATATATTTATTTTATTTAATAATTCGTTAACTATTAACTTTATTAAAGGTATTTTATACCAAAATTCAGAAGTATTGATGTTTTTCTTTAATTTTCGTTCGTTGCCTGGAGTAATTGTGATAAATCAGAATTATGTAGTTGATTTCTAAAATGCGATTATCTCGAAAAGTGTTAAGTTTTGAAGATTTAACAAGTATACCTTTTTTTGATAAAATATTGTATCTTTAATATTTTTTATTAAAAATACCGGTAACTTGAAGAGCAAAACAGTTAAGTGCAAATGTATGCCACACATGTGGCATATGTAGCGCCCTCTATGAGCTACATCAAAGTATACATCAAATTATAATTTATAATATTTAATAGTAGCCATTCGTAAATTTTTATAAATAAATGTTTACAAACATTAAAGTTATAGCAAAAAATAAAATTTTAAATTTCCACTTTAACACCCTGTATCTTTTTTAATATCAACATTTTATTAAAGCAACTTGACTTAAATCGTAATATTTTAAAGTGTAGATTCTACGGTTTCATTTTGTAAAATTACTTAAGGACTACTA